AGAGAGAGAGAGAGAGAGAGAGAGAGAGAGAGAGAGAGAGAGAGAGAGAGAGAGAGAGAGACTAGTCCAACAATTGAATTATTTTATACGTAAGGCGCGCGCACGAAGTGGACAGTCTTAACTGCCTCCTTCGGCAAACTCCGCGTAATCTCCGTGGTCTATCTTGGATAGAACTACGCAGGGAACTGTGTACAAACTACAAACTATCGAGAAACTAATCGTATATCCCTCTGTTCGTTATCGAGTACAGAACTTTCCTAATCGCGGGACGAATAATAGGCAGAGACTTCTCGCACTTTGCGCCGGGTTCTTCGAGGTAATACAATCCGCTCCAACTTATGAAGCGAAATATGGAGTGCCATTTCACTACCGAAGTCAGTCGCGTTGAAGTTCGAGCCGAGTTCGTAATCGAATTAGCCGTTCTTGAATTCTCGCCCGCGTACGATTATCCACAATAATCTACGACGTGGTGGAAATAATCACTTGTTTGTTACGGTAAACTCCATCGCGGTTCTTACCATCAGTGTAAGGGCAACTGTGGCGAACTATTTAAGCGATTGATAGATTATGCTTCGAAGCGTGTTCCTACGTTGTAATCAATAATAATATCCGGGACGTGAGACGCCGTTACTAGAGGATTAAGTTTGAATCTGTCATAAATACGCGAACGAGAATACGTTGAGATAAATCATCTACTTGTTTCCTTTGTCCGACAGATTTTTCGCTGGCACGAGAAATAAATAAATATTTTACGCGAATGAAACGTTAAGCATAATTAAATATCTCGGAAATCGTGTTAATGAGTAATAAGTAACTTTATATGTAGTTACAAACATTTATTAATTATTAAATCTGTTAAATAAATTCACTACTTAAAGCTTTCAAACCACACGCACTCTTGTAATTCAAATTATCCTGTGATATTGCTAAACATGATCTCCCTTCGATACGCTAGAGCAAAATTTATCGGGAAGCAATTGTCGCGTAATTAACGCGCCTCGACGATAAAGTGCACCGGGAAAGTTTAACACGCGTAAAATTGCCATAAACTACCGTAGGCTACCTACTCTATAAGGCCTAGTTTCGCACAAATCTACTTGGGCGTCCCGATAATTAGTCAAGCGGCGTGTCGTCGGAAGGAAGGCGTCCCAAGAGGAGGCAAATCTTCTACAATTACGACTAGAGGCGGACGTGTGTTACCAGCGCGGTTTTACGCGTGTCCCAACAGGACCGACGAGCTCCGCTCGAGACTTATGACTTTCGCGAACGCAAGGCCGACAATGGGTTTAGCCGACGTCTAGGTGTGCTCTCTGTGGACGAGGAAGCACTTTTAGATTTCGAGGCTTTCGGCGTCTTGGGCGCCTTCTCTTTGCCCGTGGCAGCCGCGGAGGTTTTCACCGATTTCCCGGATTTGTTCGCGCCGCCTGCCGAGCTCGCGCCCGTGGAGGCTGCGGAGGATGTAGGCTTGTTAGACGCGACACTTGTGTTCTGGGAAAGGGTTTGGGTGTTGGGTCTTACTTGTACCTCGCAGGGGGGTGGCGCACTCCTGTACGACGGCACGATCTTGAAGGTCACCGATCCTCGTGCCTCCCGCTGTAACAGTCGAATGTGATCGACTCTTTAAACATTGCGACTACGAATAAGCAGGCAGGGGGTAAATAAGCGGTGGTACGAATTGTACGAAGAAAAAAATGAAGCGCGTTCCAAAACGGTAAAACTTTGACGCGAGATCAATTTCGTATTGGTATAAAATATATCAGTCTATCTTGCGTTATCGAGATTGCGCTTCATTTCGGTGCAACTTGTTTTGTAATTAACATTTGTGGCAATAGAAAACAGTCTTAATTAGATTCGGAAAATAAGCAACATTCAGTAAAATCACGGCACGAGCAAAAAGAGTGTACAAGTAAGAGTTTCAAAGACGCGAAACTTTAACGCGATATTTCGTATGTTGATATAAAATGCACGAGTCTACTTTGCGTTACCTAGATTACGCTTCGTTTCAGCGCAATTTTCGATAATTAACGTTTAATTAACACTTTATAATTAACATATCGATGAGAAATAGTTTCCTCAAAATTGGGTTCGGGGAATAGGCAACATTCAGCAGAATCATGGTACGATAAGAACGAAAAGACGACTTTTTTAATAGCACTCGTGATTGCGAGCGAAACAGCGGTACTCACCAGGATCTTTTGCAAGGCATTAACGGATTGATTCGCGACCGGTATACCGTTGATCTCTCTGATCTCGTCGCCAACGTGCAGAGTGGCTTGTCTATGGATCATCCCACCGTGCATAATTCGCGCAACGACACATTTTCCGTCCTCGTTCATTTTCAGCGTGATTCCCTGAAAAGCAAGCGAGCAACGCAAAATGGATTAAGAACGACAAATGTAGCGCGCTATCGATAATAACGTAGTTATTACGTAGTTATATTTTGTAATATACCGTGCATTGGTAAATGTTATAATCTCGAGTTAAGCCGCGTGTGCTATAAAATGATAATGTAAATTTCAAGTTGAAATTGCCACGCGAGCACAATTGTCTCGCAGGGTGCGTAGAATTGCGCGCGTTCACCGCATTTATACAGCGCAGGGAATGCGATATCACCGTGTGAAAAGCGTTTATCGCGCTCTCCCATTCATCTGATGCATTTTCCCCGTTCGTCACTCTTTTAATTCGCGTAACGAGAACACTTGAGGTGCTCTCGGTTCTTCGAATTGCACGATATTTCAACTCTAACGTCTTCGATACGTTTATCTCATTCCGATTTTTCAAATAGGCGCGCGCGTTCTTTCTCTCTCTTGAAGAAAATACTCACGCGCGCGGATTTTCACTTCGTTGGTCAATTGTGCGAGAGAATCTTGCCACAAATCGTAACAAAATCTATTGTGTCGTGCACCCCGATGCTACGTGTTTCGGCGTTGACGAAGAGGCATGTTTCCGCGATTGCGAGCGCTTCATCAAAAGTGCCACTTACCATCGGCTCGTCCGTGTTCTTCTGGAACTGCACCAGTCTTACGCGAGTGACGTTCTCGAGGTCTAAGTCGCCGTTTTGCCCTTCGAGATCGTCGCTGCCATTTAGATACGGCAGCAGCGGCGGTGGTGTTACTCTGGTGGCTTCTTCGCCGTAGACCTCGTGACCGGCAACGTCGTGCGCTTGTAAAAGTGCCTGGAACAGATCATAAGGCGAAATTGCGAATTAAAATTTGAAAGTCGAGGCAATACGCTTTTCACATAATCCATCACACGTTATTATTTTCTTATCAGAAAAATAAATAGTACAAATAACAAAATACGATATATAGATATAGTGTATATACATGTATACATAGATATAATAATAAGATACGTAATACGAATAATACGAATTATTTTATCGTACATAATAGTTCGTCATATACGAGGGTGGTCTGAAAAGTTTCCGACCTAACAAAGATACAAGTCATTTTTTCTGAAAATTGTTTTTTATTTTTCAACATAGTCTCCTTGTAAATCTACACACTTCTCCCAGCGATGCTCCCATCTCTGTAACCCGTCGAAATAGTACTCGGCGTTTTTCTCTGCAAAATAATTGTTCACGAAGGTGATTGCCTCTTCATTTGACGAAAATCTCTGTCCTCCGAGCGCAATTTTTAGATGAGGGAACAAAAAGAAGTCGCTTGGGGCTAGATCTGGTGAGTAAGGTGGATGGTCAAGCAGTTCAAACCGTAATTCGTGGATT